TACCAATCCACAACTAGTCCCACCCAACTGCTTCCACTATACAGCTATTTAGACCCTGCTCACTTCCTCAATAAACGAGACTTGATCAGAAAGCCTGTCTTGTCTTCGTCTCTTGTGTCTCTTGCCCTGTCTTGTTCATCCCCGTTCCTCCTCCGGGTCATTACCCCACGTCTGGACTCAAGGGCTGAGTCAAGTGGCGCCCCACGTGGAGGCCTGGCACAGAGGATTTAACGAGGGAGCCCTTCGAGAGCCCGGGTACGAAACAGATAGTGAAAGTAAATTCCGAGGCCAACGCCGCGGGAGTGCCTGCCCCCGCGCCGCTCGAGCCACGGTGAGTGAACAGCAACCCCCTTCCCCTTTTCCGGCATAGGTCAAGCATTAAGCGAGCATGAGCTCTTTGTGGAAAGCCTCAGTAAGGCACTCAAGACATGAGGGATTAAGGTAAAGGAAAAAGATTTATTACAGTATTTTAAGTTTATTCATGAGGTTTGCCCGTGGTTCCCATTGGAGGGCACAATCAATTCTAAAAGATAAAAACGAGCGGGTGATGCATTACAAGATTATTATGGAGTTTTGGTCCTGAAAAGGTCCCAATCACAGCATTTTCATACTGGGGCTTGATTGATGAGATTCTTATGCAGCGACACAGAGACCCTTTGGCCGGGGAAATGATTACCCACGGAGAAACTGTCCTGCGTAACTCCAATAGGCCCACTCCAGCCCCTTCCCAGGCTGGTTCAGATGTCTCCTCTCTCCACAGTGAGGAGGCAAATGAAGTGTTAACTAAACCCCAAGATAACGAACAGCTGCCACCTTCCCCTAATGAGCAGCTGCCGCCTCCCCCTTCTGAGCTTTTGCCTCTCCTGACCCATTATAAATCTTTGAATCCCAACCTTACTACTTTACAAGAGGTCAATTGGGAAGACTTAGCCAAAGAGGCTTCCAAATACCGTCCTGACCCCGTTGCACACCAGTTGCTACAAAACCACCTCCTGATGATAATGAAATGTCCAAATTTGCTCCTAAATCTTCCAATGTGCTTTTGGATCTGGAAACTCGACTGTTTGAGAGGCTTATATTACACTTACAATCTTTACAGGCTGATCAGACACATGGCACCCCTAAAATGGCGCCTGGGCCCAGTGAGCCCTTGCCTAAAATGGCGCCTGAACACAATAGGCCCCCGCCCAAAATGGCATTTCCGGTTTCGGAAGTGATGGCCCCCAGTCAAATGAATTGGATTATGTTCCCTGTGTGAGGCTCAACCCAAAAGGAGGAATAAAGGAAAAAAAAGATCAAATAAATCTACAGTAATTACTAAAGCCAGTGGGGAGACTGGCTATAGACACCTTTGGCACTTACTGGTTGGAAAAGGAAGAACAGAAAAAAACAAACAAACAAACAAAAAAGTATGTTAAGAGGGAAGGAAGGAAGAGCAGTTTAAGAGTAGCAAGATGCCAGAATAAATGAAGATCCAGATGATTAGCAGATGATGGTGACAGAAGACATGGTAGTAGAGAAAGGAGAAGACATGGTAGTAGAGAAAGGATGGAAGGAATCTGAAGAAGGGTAGGTCCAGGAAGAACAGACTTTTATGGAAAAAAGAGGCACAAATCTGATGAAGTGGCACCAACTAGATAGTTGA